CGAAAAGGAACGGCGGAGGTCCATGAATAAAATATGACGGCTCGGTGACCACTTCTCCATTACAAAGCCAGACATCCCTAGAAAATTTTTATTGGATATTATAGCCAGAAAATAAAACTGGTTTAGTCTTTTTCGATTGTATTTGTTTCAACGTTTGTGATTTCCTTTACATGTCTTTTTTATCCCAATTGAATTGCTTCTTTGATTGAAATTTTATGGAGTCTTTTTGCGAAGTTACCACAACGAGAGTTGGTTATACTCGAAAACTTTGGAATAGATGTTTCCGAACACCTAAACACGAGGGAATCCGCATGAATAAAGAAAATGCAATCATACTACGAAAAGATTTTAATCAGCTCGTGCACAATGAGAAAAGAAATATTTGCAAAAGAAATCGAATTGACTTTTGCAAAATTTAGTTTCTACGTAAATTCCACAATGCCTAATAGAAACCCTGTCGACTACAACTGAAGTCACGCAGTTTCGTCATCTGAACAATTCATTCAATAAAGATTTCGAGGATGACATACACCAACTTACTTGAGAGATAAATTAACATTTTCTGTACTTTCACGTGTCGAACAGTCCTGACGTGAGCAAATACTTTTGTTCTTATAGAGTTGAACAGGATTTTTAATGAAACGCAATACATTGTTATCAACAGATCCATATATGTTATATTGATTGGACTGTTGATGAGTGAGAATACTATGACTGGTAAGCCAATATAATTTTGCCTCGTCCCAACCGTTCGATTCAACCAATGCAAAAGTTTTGCGGAGAGACAGAAACGGTTCAGTTTCGGAGTTTAAAATAACACTTTTTATTGATGATTCGGTCCAAAATATAACGTATATAGCAAATAAAGCAGAATCGATGCTGCAAGTGTTTGTTAAAAATAAAAATCTCATCGTTACTTTGGAAGAGCAAATGAGGATTCAAGAGCAAAATATGAAAAACACCGAAAAAACTTATAATAATCTCTCGTCACTAAGAAATCTAACTGCGAGAAGACCTCAGATTATTGTTCTCATCATTGCACTCAGTATTATTGTTGTATTAGTTATCGTGCTCGCGGTATACTTTATCTATCGATACTCTAAAAAAAAATCGATTGACTACTACATCAATCGTCAATATTGGTACTACAACGAATCAGCCTATGAAGTTTACATCACAACCGACTCAAGATAATGTGGGTAGTCTTTACGACTTGTTATCTGCATTTGTCAAAAATAAAGAAGAAAGACAACTTCGTTGAATTATGGTCTAACATCTGCACATGTTCTATTTGTTTCTGTAGTTTCTTTTTGTTTGTTCACTGTTCATCAGATATTCAGTCACTTAATCATCATTAAATAATTAATCAAAATCTGTTCAAGTTATATTTCATATATCTAAAACTTCACTTCACCATATAAATGCTGATATGCTTCAAGGTGGTGTCTTGGAAAGACCAGAATTCGCCAAGAAAGTTTGATAATTGATAGTAATAATTATTGAATAAATCACACACACTCATATTTACAGGAAGAAAAAGATTCCTCTCGAACAACCCGTCGTTCAATGTAACGCAAAAAACTAATTATATAGACTGATGCAATTATATTTAATGACTGTTATTGTGAGACTATTGTCGGAAGGATTTTAAGTGCAGAGGATTTCAGATTGCCAAAAGATAGAAGTTATTAAATTGTGTTCAAAATGCATTTCAAACAGTTACAGCACTTATACACAGAATATAGGCACATCTAACAAAAGATACCAGAAGCTACGGCATGAAATTTATTATTTTTTACTTCTCTCTTATAAAGTTGCGAGTAACACGATTCCAAGGTAGCCCATGGATAGAGCTCGTCGAGCCGCATCTGGAACGGTTGGAACGGACTCCTGGGCGAATCGCTGATGGAATGATTGAGAAAATCCATGCAATTCCTACTGGAAAACCGGTATTTTGGGTTTTGGCTGGAGCTATGAGGATTCCAAGGCATCCCATGGATAGAGCTCGTCGAGCCGCATCTGGAACGCTAGTTGGAACGGTTGGAACGGACTCCTGGGCGAATCGCTGGTGGAAGGATTGAGAAAATCCATGCAATTCCTACTGGAAAACCGGTATTTTGGGTTTTGCTAGGTTTT